ATGGCTCTATTTACTCACATGCTCCAGGAACATGATAGACAACCTATGGGTATCTCCGTGGCTACCTCAGGACGGTCTTCGCGAAATTACGTAATTCTTCCTGTTCTTGGTCTCTTTCAAGTAACTAGATATCTTGGAGTCGTTGTGTTTGGTGACTAATGCCACCAGAACGGAATCCTTTTTTTTATTTCCTGATTTATACTGGAAGTTACATTATTGATAACCTGAGATTATTAAAATCTGCTCATGCCACGTAACATGACGTTAGGTCGTCTTCCAATTACGGACCGCTAAAGATGTGTTCTCAAACACCTGGCTCATAAGTGTAAGTATGTATGTGTATACATATAGGCTGAAAATATATCGACCTGACACACTTCTCAAAAATCTGAACAATTATCAGATTTTTTTAAAGAATGTCATAATAGTGTCGAGCAAATTTCCACCTCCTCATATATATGCATGTATGTATGTATGTCTGTTGGATGTATGGGTGGTGTAATGGGTAGCGGTTCGGAATGAGATATCTGAGAACCGAGTTCAAATTCCAGTTGAATTCATTAAATTCACTTCCGCGAAAATGCTGTTTGAAAAGGTAGGAATTAATCTTTTTTTCTTTCCCCTCCATCTATGGATTAAATAATAGGACCTCTTTTGCCTTGATTTTCAACCGGTCTAGGTGAAGGAAAACTCTGATGTAACACCCGCCTCAGTGCTAATACCGATATTCCGCATCAGATTGGTGAGAGCCGTTGCGGTGTTGTGTAAACCACACACGACTATTATCTTAGGAATAGTTTTACTTGTTTGACAAATCAACATTTATCATGTATATATTGACGTGTGGACGAGTGATTAGAACGTTCGCTTTCCGATCATGATACCCGGGTTCGAATTTCTCAGGTGACTGACTGGGCTAAGGAGGCTCCCCCACGCCTATACGCTATGTGTCACCTTTGGGAAGAGCATAAAACAGGTTGTCCCAACCCTTGTGAGCGAAATTGGGTAGAGAGAAGTCATCGGAAGCCGTTTATGGTTTTGCTAGCACGAAGTCATGAGTCTTCGTGACCGAGGATTTCAATGCACTGACGTTAACCAAACTGCCGATCATGACAGACTACACGCACACTCCATGAAACCGTAACGAAAGTTCGCTCGCTAGGTTTGGAACAAACACAAATCTGCCTGGACATGTGCCACTGCTGCCGTATCAGTCAACTGCGCTCGAAAAACAAAAGTAGCTGGCCATGATGTATGTAGATATGCATGTGTATCCTACGCTGTTGTTTACTGTTTCGCAGTTAGGAAACTGAAAGTTAAGTATGGGGTGGTCACCTCTAATATTGCGAGTGTGTCGTTATCTGTATTTGAGAGTGGCAAAATGGTTTATGAAAATGTTTCTGTTGTTTATTTGCTTTCATAACTAAAAAATGATTCACATTTTTTATTTTCTATACAAAATTTCTTTGAAAATTATTGAATAAACAATAAACTATAATTAAAGTTTTACAGCTAGAAAGATTAAATTTTCCGTAGGTATATAGGGTGTCCATAAAGTTCGTATGCACTTTAATAAAATCATAACTTTATTTGTATTTGCGATAGAAATAACCTGTAAAAAATGTTATAAAGTTTAATGTACCTAGTTTTAAGTATAATTAAAATAACTAATGTGATTTCAGGCATTGCTGTAAATCAGTTGGCAAATCTTTTCCGTGAACTGCAAAATCGTATTACACTTTGTATTGCTAATGATGGAGCACATTTCAATAAAACCTTAAAAAATATAGATTTACTTCTTTCTAATCCTTTATACAAATTATTTCTATCGCAAATACAAATAAAGTTATAATTTTTTAAAGTGTACACGGACTTTATAGACACCCTGTATCTATTCAATGTCATATACGACTTTTTCTGTATACGTGAGTTAAATATATTTTTCTAAATTTTACCGAATTTTCCTTTACTTTATTAAATTTTATAAAATTATTACAATAAATTATTTGACATGATTTAAATTCATTTAAGTTTAATTTAAGTATTAAAATTAATTTTGACTATTTTTTCTTACAAAAGAGCGAATAATGGGCAAATAATAAGGCGATGTTTTCATGGATTATTTCATGTATAATCTGCAGATAAATTTTGTGTTTCTTCAACAGACCCCGACCTGTAGTTTATAAATCAACTATGTTGAATGGATCTTACTGTTTGCGCCATGGAAAGCATAACCTGGCGGGATGAGTAGTTGAACCAGGAGAGGACACTCAATATCTCGGTCACGATGACTTGTGACAGCGGGCTAGTATAAACATTGACGGCTTTTGAACAATCCCGTGTACCTAATTTCACTCACAAAGCTGGGATCACTTTTCAACTGCGCCACAAATGATAAACGTATGTTTGCTTATATTTTCATCTTCATTATGTCTAGATTCTAAGAAAATAGTTAATAAATAATTATTATTGTATCGTATAATACAACAGGTTCACTTACTTATATTTTAACAAATAAGGCCATGTAGAAAAATAATACATCGTTATGTATCTATGTTGATATATCGATATATTAATTTTTATTTAATTATATTTTATAATTTTACTATCTGTCTATATTTCTGAGATGAGGTATTATGTACACTATTTACATTATTCGGACTATTGTCCTCATCTCTGTTGCCATATTTATTACAACATTTCGGTCGTTGTACGCTACGTGAGAGGTGAATTAACTGATAACTGATAACTGACATTCATTAAACATGGCACGTGGAACTAGAACAGTCTACCCCAATGAGCGAAATAAAGGGTTCAGTTTGACATTCCAACCACCTGAAGAAGGCCCGAGCGTAAAACGGCCGAAACGTTGTAATAAATATGGAGACAAAAATGAGGAAAGTAGTCCGAATAATGTAAATAGTGTTTATAATTTTAATATTTAAACCAACGTTAGTATAATTTATGGCGTTCCGAATTCGAGGAGAGACGCCGCGTTCATCCGGACTTTCGAGAAATGAACGGATATCAAGTCTAACTGGAAAACCGGAATATTACGTTATGTATGTAAGTGTATAATAATTCTATTTGTCTTTGTGCGATTCAGATGATAATGTATACTTGTAAGTGTCTTTGTGCGTTTGTATGTGTGTGTATGTCTAGTCGACACTATGTTGATTTTCGCATGTTGAGTTGGGAAAATTTTTCGTACATACCCTTTGTTTTAAGAATGGATTGGTAATGTAAATTTGGTATTATCATGTTTTTGATGTGTGTTTATAATTGGTACTATTGTTATTAGTAGCCCTCAGAAGTACTTTCGACATAAAGAATTAGTCTCTTTTTAAATTTACGGTGGCATTTGTAAAATCAAAGTTTGTTCACGTATATTACGAGCAAGTTTGAATGGTTGTTTAAACGTATCTCTCTTGCATGATCGTAGATACGAATTTTCATATTCCGTGATGTCTCGCCTACATAAATGTTTTTACATTGCAGTTTATTTGATAAATACCGGCATCTGAATTGATGTTGGATTTATTTTTTCTTCCTAATTATATCTCCGATTGTCTTGGACGTGGTAGTAAGTTCTTAGTATTAGGAATAATTAATTTTTTTCCAAGTTTTGTAGAAATAATGTTCGGAGCGTATAATTATTGATTTTGTGTCTATCGCTTGTTTATAGTTTTTGGAATTTATGGATTTTGTAAGTTTTTTTTCTAGCGTTGAGGATGAAATGATATTGGTAGTGAACATGTATAACCTTTATTTTCGGACGTACCCATAAAATTGTCATTGATTAAGCTAAGCTTTAATGATTATTGGAAAAATCATAAATCCACTGGATTCCTTTTCAAAGCAGTTCATGAGACAAAATAATGAGATAACAATATTATCAATTTTATTATTAATTACACATATTTTAATTTGTATTTGAAATACAAATTATTGTAATAATTATTATTACTCATATTATACATTATTACTTAGATCAAACACAATAATAAACTAATAATAATTATATTTTATCATACATACTTATTTCTTCCTCATATTTACTTCAAAATATGTAACGGCGGCTAACCAGCGTGCATCTATATATTCATTTACCACAAAGGCATATGATGCAATGTTCCATACATTCAGATTACATTTTACAATGACACACCCACATAGCGTCTTCACTTATGAAGTAACTGGCAAACAAATATTTGTTTATAAAATGTCGTGTAGTGAATTGTATATGTCGTGTTATGTATATTTAAATTTATTTAATAATGTTGTCATAATGTTTTATGCATGTTTATTATTTTTTCACACGCATAATAGTTAGGACATTATATGCAAGTGTTTGTTTATATACGCGGATTGATATAAGAATGTGTATTGAAAACAAATAATGGATTTTCTATTAAAAATGGCGTAAAAACAGAAAAATAGCTATAGCTCAAGAACCACTTGTCTGATTTTAATGAATTTCGCACGGTTCTCGCTAGGGGTTCAAGATACAAAATGCTTCTAAGTTGGGTGGGGTAATATGTATCCTTGAAGCTGTATCTTGGGAACACACACGCACACATACATACATACATACATACATACATGCATAAAAGATAAGTGTTTTCGTATTATTTCGGTATGAAGCCTCGTTCTGATTTTCAGCATTTTGATAAGATTTTTACAAAATAAAATGATAAGTAAAGTAGATATTAGTTGTTTTTTTAAAGAGTTTAAAATCATGATTTAATCCTTTTATTTACACGTGTGATGAAATCAGAAATACTGTAACTCGTGAAGTGTTTACGGTGTAAGAATAACAATCAGGTCTCGTATTTGAAATATAGAGAAATATATTTGCTGAGACTAAAATGAAAAAAAAAATAAGCATTAAGATAAAAGAATCGTAATTGTATTCAGTGGTGAGGTCAAGAGCCCGTCTGTACCTCTCATCATTAAACAGATCTTTCGATTGCCAATGTTCATCGTTTTGTGCGACACAAATGGATCAGTCGAGAAAATATTCCGACAAAGATAAACTGAATCACCTCTCTTTTTTTTTTATTACTATTGACTCCTCCCTCCATTCCCTGTCATATCCATGCCCCTCCCCAAATCAAGATGGACCCATAAGTGTATTTTCCTGTTTTCTGTCATGAAATTATTTGCAGTTTTTATTTTCCACTTAAAGTAAATTTGTCCCTTCCGCCCGGCTTAATTCGATCGAGTCAAGGAAAGAAAGATACAAATGGCGTGTTTTAAAGCACTACATGGGTCCATTGTTTGGATTTAATTTTATAATATTTCTCTCTCTCTCTCTCTCTTCATCTCTATTTATTTAGGTTATCTATCTATCTATCTATCTATCTATCTATCTATCTATCTATCTATCTATCTATCTATCTATCTATCTATCTCTTTCTGAGTCGTTGTGACGCTGTGCTGAGTAATCGCTTTATGTATGTATCTGTCTTTTGAGTCTATCTATCTTTAATTTTGCACTCTGAAAATAGATTAATATTATATATTTTGTATCATCTGCCCGCAATGATTTCCTGTTAACTTTCTGTTAAAATAACCTTCCTTTTCTATCGCTTGTTCCGCAATGTAAATTCCCGAATAGGAAGAAACGTTGTCACTTTTTAAAGAGAAATTTCAAAAATCATCCAGTCGCACGAGTTGTCATTTATTTTTGTACATTTGCAATTAGAATGAGTAGAGATTTACTCCACATTTTCTTCTTAAATTCACCAGAGTTATTGTCTTAACAGCACATAGAATTGGATTTATTCTTTTGCATTGGATTTTTGGAATTAATTTTACAGGAATATCTTAGAATAATTTCCGAATTAAAATCATGTTTTTTTTTCTTACTGAATGGACCTCTGTAAATAATTGTGCTGTATTTTGAATTTATGAACGTTTTAGTTAAAAATTCCCAAAAGCAAATTGAAAAATATTGAATGAGGTTCTTAAAATTTGGAAGAAAACTGATCAAATGTGAATTAAAATAAAATGGCGTATATCATAAATATTATTATTTTTATTATTATTTTATAATATTTGGTGTCATTATGAGAATAGTCAATTTATTTTTATTTTATATTATTTACATTATGATATTTAATACCTAATTTGCTATATGGCAGCAAATGCTGTAAAATCTCCTCCCAGATAAAGAAAAAGATTTGAAGCAAGTATTTTTCTTAGAACTTCTTCGTTCCTCATTTATTCTGTTTTTGGTATTCTCAACATTTATAGAACCACAACTCTTTTTTTGCTTCGTATTTTTCTTCATCTGCGAGGAAATTTCACAGCATTTGCTGCCATATAGCAAATTATATATTAAGTAGCATAATAGCAATAAAATAAATTCTAATAATATAAACAATAACAACAATAATAATACTAAGTAAATACAAGGATCTCCAGATAGAAATCAGTAGATTTTTTTCACAATGATGTCCACCCTTTATAAATAAAAAAAAAAACCCTCAAGGTAGAGGCTTACAGAGTAAGAGTTACAGTTTATAGGCATATTTGGGGAAGCTCAGCTTGAACAGGTTTTAATGATCGGAAAATCATAGTAGCAATATTCCATTTTGAGCCTGACTTGTCTCTTGTAAAAGTAGAGGACAGAAAGAAGAGTCGGGTACTTCCTGGAAGCCGGCCATTTTGTCAGCAACTTTAACAATGCACGTGTATGTACGCGTCCCATTTGAGATTTGGTTTGAGCTTAAGTCCTAATATACGCTCAAGTTACGGGGTCTCCCTGAAAGAACAAACATTTCATCGCAATCAGTGAAAATTCAGGGTCCGTTCAGTGATCATGGTAATCCCTCCACCTTGATCTGTTAGAGGAGGGATCAGCTGCTAGGCGATGTTTTGGAGGTGCACCCACATACCATTGTATCATTAGCAGAGATATTCACAAAAGCGTTGGATATGCTCTTAGGCAGATCATTTAAATAAAGTGGAAAGTGAGTTGGAGCGAGAAGTGAGCACTGGGGAAGGCCTGTGTCGATCATTTGGATCTCGGAGAACTGGCCAGTAACAACTATCTTCAAGGACCTATTTGCTCGGAAGGACCTAATAATTAAAAAGACTTTTCCAGTGTTTCCATAAGTTGAGAGCTTGTGTAGTAACCCTCTACAATGTAATAATGTCTTTGAAATATCTAATGCTATCGTCCTTCACATGTATTTATTGTCTAGTAGAAGGTTTTTCAAACTGCGGGTCCCGATATTTCAGTGGGTCGCAAGTTAAGTAAAATGGGTCGCGACAAAAAAGAAAGAAAAAAAAACATACGTAAGTCAGAGCAAAGGGCAGAATATAAACAATTTAAATGTTGTTCAGCACTCATTAATCATCGCTTGTTTTTCACCAAGGTAAGCTCGTATTATATTTTTAATATATATATATATATATATATATATATATATAGACATTTTTGTTTATACATTCTTTTATACATACAAATATTTAAGTAAATGCTCTGTTTATAATAAACAGTATTAAACAACATTTACCGACCTAAATGTCCGGTAAATGCCGTTAATACTGTTTATTATAAACAGAGCATTTACTTAAATATTTGTATCTATAAAAGAATGTATAAACATAAAATGTCTTAAAATAATTGTATATTTATATATATATATATATATATATATATATATATATCATAGTAAAAAAAAGTGTTTAAAAATGCACCCCTACCCTGCCTAGACTTAGCCTCTTTTTTAAACGTAACTCATAATTGATACAATAATAGTTAATAAAAATAAACACGCTAACGCCCCTGTCTAAATGACTGGATTTCTCTGTAATCTTGGAAACAAAAAATTATGAATCTATGTGCTTTTAAAACTCAGTAAATTTAAAAATAAGTTATTCCAAAATTCGCTTGAAGATGAAACAGAACTAACGCTTTTAATTTAATTACATAATTAAATTTGAAGCTTTTAGATTCGGTTTTTGAAACATGGTAATTCCTGTGTAGCTAAGGAACCATAATTTTAAATCAGTTAATTTATAATATATATATATATATATATATATATATATATATATATATATATATATAATTATTTATTTAAAAAATTTATATAAAATAAATAACATAATTTATAACATATATTTATATATGCAATTTATATATACACACACGCAGACACACACACACACACACACACACACGCAGACACACACACACACACACACACATACATACATATACACATATATATATATAGTTTGTCCCCATTGAGTTTATGTATCTTGTTTTGGATTAAGAACAAAAAGGAATTTCCACAACTGAGTAAAACGCCTATTTTATTACACTTGCCTTTTATAAATACTTACTTGAGTGAACTGGGGTTTTCCACATTAACTCAAAGACGAAGGACGGAAACAGGCTCATTACTGCACTTGATATGAGTGTAGCATTGTCTTCCTTTGTTCCCAATTGAAATTAGCCGCTTATGAACAAAGAAGCAATTCCATCGAATTAAATGACATTTTTTTTCAAATATTATTTATTTTTTATTTGTATCGGAATTTACTTTGAATTTGTTTTTCTAAAAGTAAGAATTTTATATTCATACAAATAGATACATGCAGTTCCAATATATTCGGATCATAAGAAATATACATATAAATTGTCGATGCTAAATAAATGAACCTAGTAAACAGAGTTTGTCTTTGATTTATTACACGTAGGTATAATGGGTCTCAATTCAAAATGTGTTTCTTGCTGTGGGTCGCAGTAAAAATACTGAATAAGCTGGTCTAGTGTCTCACTTATACTGTAAGTAATGACAGGATATCAGCAGTGGACCGTGCTGATCAAAATGAGTACTGCTTGTCGTCTCGGGGGTTGAGGTGATCAACAGCCTTCTTGATGATTATAACTTCAAAAAGTTTACTCATTACACGGAGGAGACTGATGGGTCCATAATGAGATGTGGACGAACACATTCTTGAAAACAGTCCACCCACTTGACATCCTCTCCAGATTTGGGAAAGATTTCTCCTTCAAGCAACAGTTAGTTTTGCCAAGATCAGAGACAGCTCAGGATTAATATTCTTAAGGACAAGCTTTGTAATTTTGTCTGAACTGTCTTCTTAGGGTAAAGATTTTTGATAAGTTTTCAGACTTCACAGGCTGTGATGAAATATTACTGGAATTGTACTTAGTGAGACGGGAGAAATCGGTAGCCTTTGTCATCTATTGTGAATTTAGAGGCAAATATAGCGGCGTAGAGCTTTGCCTTTTGACGAGGATGCGATGACCTCGGGGTCATTTATGATAGTAGACACTGACGATTTGCCTTTTTTTGGGAAATTGATTGGAGATCTTCCAGAACTTGCGGGATCCAAGTTGTTTGCTTTCGAACTTGGATTGTTTGTGTATAGCTACGCTTTGCATTTTCTAGAATACTCTTTCAATGATTTCGGGCAGTTCTGAAATGCGGCAAGTGTCCTGTTACATCCTTCTCTGTGATATTGTAGTACTGGTTACGGTGAGCTATGACTGTAGGATATTTAAGGGTGAAACAGGGATGGCTGTTCGGTTTTTGATGGATTTTTTTTTCGGGGTTATAAAGTTCTCCATTCCAGAAAGGATTAATTTCATGATGAGGGTGGCAATTTTGGTGGCAGTATGTTGGAAAAAGGCTGAGAGAATAGCTTCCACCATGTATGACCTGAAGCTGTCCAAGTCGGCTTTCGTGTAGCAAAAAATCCTTCGATGGAACATTAATTTGGTATCGCCTTTGACAATGACTTGTCCAGAGCTGGGTAACACTTTACCGAAGCGTTTTTCACGGGCGGATATGAGGAAGAGGTTCGCTTGATGTCCTATTGCATGAGGGACACGATTAGATTATTTAATGATTTGTGTCAGTTCGTAGGCGACAGAAAAGTTTCAGCAGTATTTACCTTCATCATCGTTTTTGTTCAAATGGCTTAACTATTCTTTGTGGGGAAATATTGAAGTAACCGCAAATATGAAAGCTAGCTGATGGATATTTGGAGAGGATATTTTCAATCGTTTCAGCTGTTCGGTCGAACATTACCGTTCCGTCATCCTGGGGATGAAAGAGAGTGAAGATGTAAGTGGTACTGTGGACAAGTGCCACCCAGAAGAACATATACGGAAGATCAGGGTCCTCGTTTTGGAGGTATATGCTACATATAGGCACCGAGTCCGTGGCCATATCGATTTCGATAGTCATGTTTTACTATTAGAAGCAAGTAGACCTGGATTGAAAGTTCCTGTACTTAGCTCAAGATAACAACATTACCTGTTGTTATTGAGACTTTGGGAATATCTAAAGAAGCATACAAATATGCAGAACAAATTCCTGAATGTCGTAAAATATGTGATTAGCAAAAGAAATCATACTAATGGCAACTTCTCACTTTTAGCATAGATTTCTCTCCATGCAATGACGACAATTACATAGATTTTTTTTTATTTCTGATTAGTGTGACAGCTCATCTGTTTGCACCTTCGGTTTGGTTTGGTTTGTTTTACGGTATATCAACATCAATGCCGACAACATCTATTTTGCTGGTAATATTTTGTTTTTGTCAAAAATCTATTTCTGGTAATATTTTTTCTTCAAAAGTATATTGCTGGTAATATTTTTTTCTACAAAAATTTATTGCTGGTAATAATTTTTTACGAAGTATTTCTGGTATTAAAACCTATTTTTACACTTTCATAGTGTTTTTGCCATAATTTCGGGGCTAACTATTTGCCCATAGCTGGCACCCTAACAGGTGCTACTACCCTGGGTCAAGGTGGACCTGGGAATTAAGAGGTGGTTCCACGCCCCTCAAAACCTCCTGATCAGAGGCCTTGCTGTTGGACGTAGTTTATCGTCTTACCCAGGACGCGGATGTTAGTTTATCGTCATACCCAGAACGGTGCATCTTCGGATACAAAATTGTTGTCGTTTCTTGAAGTCTCTGGTAGAAAGATGGAGGCAACTCCTACTACTTAAATCAAAAGCAAAACGCAATAATAATAATAATAATAATAATAATAATAATAATAACATAACAACAACAACAATAATAACAATAATATTAATAAATAAATAAATAATAATAATGTAAAAAAAAATTAATCCAAGCAAAGCAGGTGTTTCTCTGTCCACACCTCATTCTGCCAGAAACCGTTGGAAGTTAAGTACCCATGACTTTTCCTGACAATATAGACATGGACACATGGTGTAACACAAACTTGTGTTTTATGTTGTTGTTTTGTTGAAGTTATATTTTGTTTTGATTGGTTGATTTTGTTTAACGTCATATCAACCTCTGTGGGTTATTTAATATCGAAATCTAAACATTTTGAACGCCATTAAAATCTGATATATATAAAAAAAAAGGTCGATTGCTTTTTCGTTATTTGCTAAAAACCCCAACATTTCTTAAAATTTCTAGTGGTCATCTTTCGTGAGAATTGGATTGGATTTGTTTGTTTAACAGCATATTGGTCATTTGATGCCGAAATTTAATTTTCTGGAAAGCTTTAAATTATTAAAAATCTGATATATGTTATTCTGCTTTCACAATTGAATACATGGTAAATGATACTCACCTTTTATGTGTTTGTATGAACATAATTAATAAAGGCAGTAATACGTGTTTTTTATGTTGTAGTTTTGTTGAAGTTATATTTTGGTTTGATTGATTGATTTTGTTTAGCTCCATATCAACCTCTGTGGATTATTTAATGCCGAAATCTAAATATTGTTGACGTAGTTGTATAACTTCAACTATAGATAAAATATATTTTTGGTAATTTCACTACAAAAATGTATTGGTAATTTTTTTTATATAAAAATATATTTCTGCTATAAAAATGTATTTCTATACTTTAATATTGTTTTGTTTTTGTTTGGGGGAGTCACTATTTGCTCATAGATGGGGCCCTGAGAACAACAGTAATTAAGAGGTGTTTCCATGCTCCTCAAAATCTACAATCCTCCGATCAGTGGCCTTGCTGCCGGATGTAATCTGTCGTCATACCCAGGACTATTAGTAAGAAAGCAACACAAATGACTGAATGTCTTCTTCAAGAGATAAACGTTACCTACGAACTGGAGATATCAAAAACAGAGGAAGGAAAATATGAGACCGAAATTCGAACGAACATTGCAATAGCAAAAGCTGCCTTCCAGAAAGTAAGCAAAGTATTAAGAAACACAAAACATTTCGTCAGAAACAAAGAAAATAGCGCTAAATTGTTACGTAATATCAATCTTCATTTATGGCAGCTCGTGATGAAAAGTGATATTAAGACCATGAGCTACTCCTCCTTTCGCGGGCCTTGTATATAGGCCAATGGAGGATTAAAGTATGTAGGAGAAAGAGGAAAACGTCACATCTCAGTAAAAGAGACAAAAAAAGCTTTGAAAGCACAATAACGCTTTAATTCCGATATAGAGCACTCTTACAACATGGAGTAAATTCTTACATATTTATAATAATAATAATAATAATAATAATATAGAACAATCAAAGTTAATTGCCCAGACATCGTTATTAAAGACTGCAAACAAAAAGAAATGCCTCCTTATTGATATGGTAGTCCCTGCAGACTAATGTATCTTTGAAGATTTAAAAAAACCTATCAAAATACAAGGACCTTGAAATCAAAATCTCAAAAATGTGGCACATGAAAACATCAAGAATTCCTGTTGTAGTTGGAGCCCTAGGATTGGTTGAAAAAGATTCTAATAGACTCCTTGAAGGGATACCTGGAAGCCCATGCACCAAAGAAATAAAAAGAAAATTTTCTCACGAGCACAGCCCACACCTTACGAAGGGCTTTATCTATGTAAACTATGTGCTTTTTCATTTTTTAATTGTTCAGTGGAAAGTGTCATGATGTCATTTCTGACCTTAAGTCACTGGGCGGGACCCGGAAAGAAATGAGTACACGCTAGAAACTAAGGAACAACAACAACAACAACAACAACAACAATAATAATAATAATAATAATAATAATAATAATAATAATAATAATAATAAAATGAATATACCCACAATCATAACAAGATAGCGATATATATGCACGGCAAGAAGCACAAAATCGAAACCATTGAGAGATGGTATGAGCACTAACCAGACGCATTTACCCAAAATAACGATGTAACTATCCTCTGAGACATGCCAATTCAAATTGATAGGGAAATAAAAGCCAACAGACCTGCACATAAAAGACAAGAAATTCAGGAAGTGCATGCTTATTGACATAGCAGTTTCATCTGAGAGAAACACTTCCATAAAAATTATCGAGAAATTATCCAATTACATACAAGGACCTGGAGATCGAGATTAACAGTTTGTGTGGAATGAAGACTGAAACTATACTAATGGTAATCGGAACTCTGGGTCTCGTGAGAATAGGAATGGACAATTTTACTAACAATGTCCCAGGTAACATCAACATATGATAGAAGTTTCCCAGAAGATCACCCTACTAGGAACATCCCATATACTAAGAAAAGTGCTATGAATTAAATGACAATTTTCCTATAGGGACTAAAGACCATAGTTTAGACCCGTCTCTATAAGATACAAAGCAGGAAGCATAACATACGCAAATGATAATAATGGTAATAATAATAGTAACTCTGCAAATTCCTAAATGAGGTGTCGCCAAATTCAGTCATTACTAAGATAAAAACGAAAGAAAACAAGGAAGAAAAAAAAAAGAAGGAAAAACTGGTTGTGTTGTGTGATGCACTGACTTTCAAGGCCTGGTTTCATGACCTTTTTACGTTTTTCTTTCAGTGGATGAAGCGAGGCGAAGTCATCAGAAACAAATGTCAATGTCTGTCCGAATTAGACGTACCATCTTTTGACGTGGACCGCAGTCCGCCATTTTGGTCAGAAATTAAGCGCTGGTTGTTAGAAGAGCGTAAATCTTTTGAAGATGCTTTGAAGAAATTACCAAACGCATCTCGAACAATTTAGGCGAAAGGACTACCCCACATGTCTCCACCTCCCATCTCCCTGTACCATTTCTATATGACCCATTAAGCCCTGTCATACGATAACCAGCGAGGTTTCTATGCAGGTAGCACTCTTTCTTTCTTTATTTTCTTTCTTTCTTTATTTTCTCTCTATCTTTCAAATTATCTTGTGTTGTTTATTGATTACTCATTAATTCTTTCTTTCCTTCTTTCTTCCTTTTTTCTTTCTTTGATTCCCTTTCCCTTGCCTTGTCTATTAATAATTCTTTCTTCCTTTCTTTCTTTCTTCCTTTCTTTCTTTCTTCCTTTCTTTCTTTCTTTCTTTTGTGTTTTTATTAACCACTCTTTAATTCTTTCTTTCTTCCTTTGATTGACTTACTCTTGCAAAGTTTATTCTTTCTTTCTTTCTTTCTTTCTTTCTTTCTTTCTTTCTTTCTTTCTTTCTTTCTTTCTTTCTTTCCATAACGACAATTTTGTCCTTTCATCATATATCAGTAGAAAGCAGAACAAAACCAAACAAAAAACAAGCAAATACAAAGACGCTCCCCAAAACTGAAACAATAACCACGCCAATCTTGTAGAGCCGTAAAAAATGGTTCGCTTCTACGCAGCCAACAAAACAGAACAACACATCGAAAAACATGAAACCCGTTAGAATTACATTAAACCCTGTTGAGCTTCGCCTTCCCTTCGGATGATTTTGCCGCCTTGACTTTGCCGCTGTCTTTTAAACCGCAACTCATTATTTCCTCTCTTCTTCCTTACTTCTCAAAGCCCTCCCCCCGCTCCGTTTGAGTTCTAAGTTGAAAATTAAATGAAACACGCCAACGGAACGAACATGTGTTTTGGTAAGTCTGCCGTTTTTATTTGATTATTGAGCTTCAAGGTGACGATCGTATCGCTCAATGCGATTGGTCAAAATAGCAGCTAACTGGGCCGGAAAGGTTATGAGGTCATTCCTCTTGTCCACTTTTCTTTTACCGCCTCATCACATCAAGGCAGTGTTCATTTAATTTTTTTCTGAATAGGATTTTCGAAAATACGTCGGAAGCCATCCCTGTTGTAATATAAGATGGCGAATAACCGGAACAAAGTGATCCGTTTTCCCGGGGGTGAAGGAGAACTGAGCAGAACTGAGGTCGTAAAATCATCGCCCCACCTCACATGTCGGGGATCTTTGTCGTGAAGCTCACGGTGGTCACCTATCCACTGGCGAGACAAAATAAATCTAGTAACGAGACCGATTGACCTTTCACCCACCTCTCCACTGATGAAACAGAGAGTTTCCTTCTGTGGGGCCTGAATATATCACGTGACTATCTCACCTTTTTTTTTGCATGAGAGGTTACAGGAAGATCGGAGATTCGTTTCGATTAAAGTTCATTGAAATCAAGAACAGAAGAAAACGAGAATAAAAAAAAAGTATTTCGTTTGGCAAGAGGATAACTTAACGACAAAACAGGATTGATGCTGAGCGCCTAAAAAATTCAGATATACTTTAACTATACCGTCATAGAAATTAGATTTTTAACAATTTCAACTCTGGTTTTTTACTCTATCAAGAGCCACTCTAGGTAGAGGGTTACTATGTGGCTTGATATTATCGTAGGAAAGGGCAAACGGTAGGAGTATAGAGTTGAAGTAGACTTTAGAAAGAACCGGAAACCCAGTCCTTAACAGAAAACAAAGGATAAACCTCTACTCCTGTTCAACAGACAGGAAGTTTAAACCGGACGATAGGCGAACCTATATACTCCTTGCATTATTTACATTATTCGGACTGTTATCCTCATCTTCGTTGCCATATTCACAACGTTTCGGCCGTTGTACGCTCCAGCCTTCTTCAGGTGATTGGAATTTCGAACCGAACCCTTTATTTCGTTCACCGGAGTAGAATTTTCTAATTCGACGTGCCATGCCTTTTTCGGATGTCTCAGTTATTTCTCTTTAACTCAACTCTTTCGGTGGACGAAATAAATGGTTCGGTTCGAAAATTCTGAAGAAGGCCGGAGCGTACAGCGGCCGAAACGTTGTGAATATGGCAATGAAGATGAGTGTAACAGCTCCAATAATGTAAATAATGCAAGTAATCATAATACTTCATCTCAGAGATATAGACAGCTATATACTCCTGTTGGTGGCGAAGAGAGAAAACAATAAAGTAAAACAACAATTATTAAATACAATTTCAGAGTTCAGATGCAAATGTTAGTACAGAGAAAGTGACTTCATTCGTTTGTGAATATGTCCTGAAAGCTTCACCAATATCCGAAAACTACCCGACATCCGAAAGATTCCCCCCAAATCAATGCTCTTCGCCGCAAAAAGACGCCAAAGTAAGAGCCAGAAAATAATGAACATATAAAAAATTAAAAATGAATTTAAAACTAGTATACATTGTGGAGAAAGTTAACGGAAACGCCTTTATTTTTACCAAGAACTCATGGCAGTTCACAGATTTTATTGTTAATGATTTTTAAATCACTTCACCCCCACCCCCAAACAAGGTAATAAAACCACTAAGACGCAAGGAGTTAATGGATGTTAGATAATATGAGAAAAACTACTACTAAGGTGAGAGGACAATAAAAGAACAAGAATTAAGAAGACAAAATATAACGATTGACATTGCATTTAAATATTTGAAGATCAAAGGCAATAAAGTCACTACGACTCAAGGGGGTTACTGAGTGTTAGAGAATATGAGAAAAACTATTACTAAGGAGAAAGGACAATAAAAGAACAAAAATAAAGATGACAGAAGATAATGATTGACTCTGTATTTAAATTTTTGAAGATCAAAATTGACTAGGAAGCAAGAAACCGGAAGAGAGTCCCACAAGCGATAAGTGCAATAGAAGAAACTGTTGGCATAGAACCTACGGTTACATCTAGTCATTTAAACTCTAAATTGATGAGGCCTCTTCGCGAGTCGAATACTGCGCTTAAATTCAAAAAGTCTAGGTACCAAAGAGGAAAGATCCTCAGAATAATTACTATGGAAATATCTATAGAAATGTCACAGATAAGCTACGTTACGATGCAAGGAAAGGGAGTGAAGCCGAGGTATCAGGTCAGGATTAGTAATATTGCAGATTCTTCTTTGGAGTTTATCAAGAATCTCTAAATATATAGCAGGAGAACCAGACAAGATGTGGCTGCAATATTCAATACAAGAGTGAATGGTAGACTTATAAATATGTAAGATAGATTCTGGTGAGAAAAATTGTCTAGCCCAATGATTCCAAACGTGGGGCGCGTGTCCCAACCGGTGAGGCATAGTAATATTTTAGTGGGTCTTACGTAGGATGTGCACCCTTCGGCATCAGAATAAGGGGGTAATTCAAGAATGAGTTATTAACAGTGAATTGTTTTCTAGTGAGTCTGAGTGAAAGTGTTAATGTGTGTTAATACATACAATGCATATACGTCATGCATACATAAAAATATTTTCTGTGCATGTACGTACATGTATAATTGGCATACATATAAGAATTAAATATTACAGGGGGGGGGCACCAAAATTTTAGATTTACCAAAGTGGGGCTAGGCCCAAAATTGGTTGGGAACCACTGGTTTAGTACGACATAGGAAACCAACTTTCTTAGCTGCAGATTAGCAACTGATTCAATATAATCTTCCCACTTTATGTCAGCTGAAAATGTTAGACCGAGAAGAAGCAACGAGTCAATCTCCAGGTGGTTAGCATCAGCCATGCCGAGGGAAGGTAAAAAGGGTTCTCACAGATGATTAAAAGAGAGCAGTTTCATTTTTGAGACGTTAAAATTAGCAAGCCATTCATTGCCCCAGTTAAGAACAGAATGTAGATCATTTTTTAGATAATTTGCCAATTTGACTTTACCGTAATAACCAAACTTACTATTAAGCTAAAAGTAAATAGTTTAAGCATACTACATTATTTCAGTACTAATTTAGTAAGAACGGGAGATAATTTGAAATAGCCATTGTCATATATTAATCGTTGGGGACTGACAAATTATAGCATTCTTCTATTATCGTATATTCTCACTAAATACTACTAATATTGTACAATCACGTCAGTATTCTTCAAAAAATGCAAATGCAATGTCAATCCCCATCTTTTTTTAAATCATGGCCGTTATCTTTCCTGCCTCGCCACATGAAACTCACTTCCTTCCCTTGCTTATGTGATAGAATAGTAGCCGAAGCGATGGTGTTAGGTTTGTGCTAGTAGTCATAATGATGGTGTAAGATTACTAATAGAATAATAGTCTTAATCAATAGTAATAGTATCACGATCACATGACCCGTAACACATTAGGGTCGTAGGGGCATCACACGTATTGCAGATGCAGTAGTAGTGATGTTTCCAAGCTGGTTTTGAATCCAGAGTTTTTCTTTTCCACCAAACGCTATAGGACCCACTCTGTCCTGCTATTTACCAACATATAGTGAAGAAGTGCCAATACTCGAATTTGAACCCAGCTCACTGTTTTCTCAATCCGATCCGCTATCCCTTACTCCAATAGTAGTATATTAGTCATAAATGGCGGCCTTAGATTAATCGTATTATTAGAATAGGGGTCTTAGAACAATGGTAGCAAAATAATAATTGTAATGACGGTGTTAGATTTACAATTTACTGATTTGTTTTTACTCATTTCATCCCAAGCAAGGCAATAAATCCACTAAGCCTCAAAGAAGTTACTGAAAGAAACAGAGAAAACACTGAGTAGAAAAAAAGCATTTTATAGATTAAATAAGGGGTTCCGCTCAAAATTCTCTGAATTAGGTGTGAAGTGGGTTGATATACCATGGCCCTCGTTGGTTATAAACTGCAGTATCATGACAGACAACTCCTCGGAGTCTGCAGAAAGCCAACTGATATTTCTTTTTTTTTTTTTTTTTTTTTTACAGCGAGGTTCACCCTTTACAAGGCGCGGGGTCCACTCAAGGTAAAGTGTTACGTTTCGAAACTATTTGTGTGTATAGGAATGGAAAATAATGGTTAACCTTAGCCTTGAAAAGATTGTAGTAATCTAAGAAACATCCTGTTGGGAGTTGGTTCCATAGGGTAGTTGTTCGTGTGATGAAGTTGTTTGTGTGGAACTTACTTCACACCGATGGGATACGAAAAGAATTTGGGTGCTTTCTACTATGTAAGTGGCATAGCGTTTTTTGTTGTGAAGGTTTTCATCAGCGGGAAGAGGGAATATAGTTCTTCCGAGCACTTTCCATGGAAGTCACAGTAGAGGAGTGAGATGTTTGCCACATTCCGCCTGTGAGTGAGAAGTTCAAGGGTGGAGAATAGTTCGTCACCCCCAAGGGCTTGGAGATTCTTTTGAACACTATCAAGACTCCATTTTTTGCCTGATCATATGTACGAGTTCCACTTTAGGTTGGGTGTGAGTTTGAGGCCCAACAGTCTTTCAAGGCACAGGGCTTCTCCAAGAGGACCTCTGTTCATCCAGAGTGGTGGTAATTCGGGATCATATCGGTGATGATGAAATGTAAGTAGCTTGATTTTTGAGTCATTGAATATAACCAGACAGTTTTTTTTACACCATTTAGTAGTTTATGCAAGATCGGAATGGAGTTCAGTCATCCAATCTCTGACCATCAAGAGTTTTCGAGGTGCTCCTGTATATTGTTGTATCATCGGCATAGATGTTCACAAATGGTTTGAATATATTCTTAGGCAGATCATTTATGTAGATTAAAAAGAGGGTTGGTCCGAGGAGTGACCCCTGGGTGACGCCTGCGTTGACCTCTAGGGCTCCGGGGGACTGGTCGTTGATAACTACTGTTGTAGAGTGGTTTCACAGTGGAGGCTTGTATTTGTACTAAGTCGGTCCTAAAATAGGTTCGACGTACAAAACGTTAGGAACTTGATATAATAGATAATGAGGCAGAGTAAATCTAGTTGTGGTCGCTGATACTTTAGTATCCGAATAACAGTCGTCCGGCATCGACTGACTGCCCGACCCACTGAGCGACTCCTACTACTCTTACTTATTATAGGTGGGAGAGTCTATTACATATAGAATAGGTGTGTTCCACTATAACAACTACCTTCAGTGACCTAACACTTAGGAGGGATTTTATGATCGAGAAGACCCTTCCAGTGATTCTATAGTAGGAGAGCTTGTGTAGTAAGCCTTTGTACCGCACCTTGTCGAAAGCCTTTGAGATATTTAGTGCTATGGTCCTCGAAGTATGTTTGCCGTCAAGAGTGTTACTGAATCCTTGAGTGATGTTAGTTAGGACATCGGCAATAGATCGGGTTTGTCGAAACCCATACTGCTCGTCGCTAAAGAGATTTATCTTTTCTAGGTTCTCGATGACCTTTTTATTTATTGCGGCCCCACAGAGCTTGCTGGTGATATTGAGGGGTCTGATGGCTCTGTACTGAGATAGGGAAAATTACACGCCTGCGTTCTTGAAAATCGGGCATACGCTTGAGACTTTACACATGCTTACGAAGGATTTATCTTTCAATCAGCGGTTGAATAACTTTGATAAGACTGGGGATAGTTCCGGGTTGTTGCTCTTAAGGATAACCACTGGAATTTTGTTTGGACCAGTCGCTTTCATAAGGTCAAGGTCTTTGATAACTTTAATGATACATGGCGCATGACAATTCAATGCCACAGGAAGTTGATTTTAAAATTTCCTGACTAAACAGAAAAAAAGGAATCTAGACAAATACTGTGATAGTCGTATATAAGACAAGTTTTGAAGGCAAACATTTAAAACAAAAATATTTTTCATATTTTAATATTCTTTTAGAAAATTTGTTCCCTTTCTTTCTTCTATATTTCCTTTCTCTCTCCTTTTTAGTTTTCACTTCTTCCTTTCTTTTTTTTTAACATGTCTTTCTTTCTTCATCACTTCCTTCTCCATTTTTCTTTACATTTCTCCTTCATTTCATAACTTCATTTTGTAATTCATTTGCATCCGTTCTTTTTTTTTTTTTATTATACATGGCCTTTTTTTTTCCTTTCTGCTTCTTCGTCTTTTTCATTATTTCCTTCATTTCTTTCCTTCAGTTTGATGTCATTCTTTCTGTCATTTTTTCTTTTTCTTTCTTCGTTTGCTTTTTAGACTTCTGCTTTTTCTTACGTCTCTTTTCTCTTCTTCTTTCATTTCCTTTTTCTTCTTTTTTTCCCTCCATTTTTCTTCATTTTTAATTATTTTTTTCCCATCTATTTCCTTTTTTCTTCAACCATTTTCCTTTAGTGCATTTTTCCTGTCTTCATTTTCATTCTTTTTTCATTTTCTCTTTTACTTTACGCTTCTACTTACTTTTCTACATCTTCTGATATTCAATTATTGCACGCATTTGATATATATATATATATATATATATTAATTTCTATTGGTATAAGTTTGGGACCCTGGGTTTCACACTTTTGCGATCATCAGACAAACCGCGCATATATATATATATATATATATATATATATATATATATATATATATATATATAGCTTCTTTCTCTCCGATGTCTATTCTTTTTTATCTTTGTTCCTTCATTCGTACGTTCTTTCGTTCGTTCATTCCTTCCTTCTCTCATCTATACATTCTACCCTGACCTAAAACTGTCCACACCCAGGAAGAGGAAAATTTAAAAAAAAAAAAGAAGTCTTCAACAAATCCAGAAAACATACGAATTGCTCATTAGTCTAATTCCTTGGTTTCAGCTGAATAAATACTAAGTGGGTTTTTATCTTCCTGTGCAAGCCGAGACGCGAAACAAAGCTAGGAGAGAAACACGGGAGATAAAAGAATGTTTCCATCGCTGGTGGGAGTCTGGGCTTCCTTTCCGCTTGCTTGATTTCAGGGTAATCAACTGGAACGATGTTACCCCTTCAAACGCGCATAATGGCGGGGCACGCATCGCAGCCGTCTGCTTATTTGCACAATCCGATCCGACCGACGATCAGTCACGTGGATAGAGTTCAAATGCCGAACGCTCGAATGCGATTGGTCGATGCGTAGCCAGAAACATCGTTTGCTGTATCCATTTCCGCGCCTTTACCAATTCTTTGCTTCATTCTATCTACTTGGATTTCTCGGATGTCACTCGCAACTCAACATTTTTTCTTTTTTCTTTTTCGTTCTTCCCCATTTTTTGTTCATTCTGATTTTTTATCCAAACCAAAATTATGCAACTTTTCTGAGTTGCAAATTTACAATCCGTTTTCACAAATTCCTTCATTTTTCTTCTTCGAAAAAACTTCTCATCGTTTTTTTTTCTCGTTTCTTTTCTCGTTTATATACGATTGTTTCCCGTTTTCATTCTTTTATTCCTCATTTTCTTTTATTTGACAATACATGATACTAGTAGCCTTCGTCTGCTCGCTATCGCTTTCCAAAGTAAGATATATTCACTACTTGAAATATTTGAAACAAAAATTTTAAATGAACATTTCATTCATAAATTGACTTGTTATGGTTAAGGAAAGTTTTAGATGCCAACTTGTTGAAGGCCAAGTAAAATGCAAATTTCAAACACTTTTCTGCACTATATAAGACGATATTCCTAAACAGAACTATTTATGGAAATCAAAACAATCTTCGAATAAAAGAACAATAATGAAAAAGAGTTAATGAAATAAACTTTTTTAAAATCAATATGCAAATTAGTTAAACCTGAAGAGTGATATTGCCTAGAAGTAGATAATATATAATACAAATATTGCGCACATAGTGTGTAAATTGTTATAATGTAGGCTTGGGGAGTTTTAATATCACAATTCATGGGAGAATTGCGATCCAATTTTGCGTTTATTCATATAGATTCTAAAATATAGGTTTTATTGAATTAACCATTATGTTTATCTAACTTTTCAAATGTTGAATGAATAAATAATTCTAATTTCTATTTTCCAATCTTTACATTATAATAATTTTATCTTATAAATTGTCCCCTGTTCTGTTACCCACGAAATAAAAATCATTGTACGGAAAATAAGGACCTACTTACATCAAATCGTTTTTAAATTAAGTGACAACAGAAGAATTATCGTTGAATTTTTAAAAGGTAAGCTTAAGCTTAAGATTAATTAAATACTTAAATGCAGCGATCACTTTTGAGTTCTGCAGTTTATTGATGCCTATCGCATCTACTCCTCCCTAGCTATTGTGATGATGGCCAAACCAAGAGTCCTCCACAGGAGCTAGCTTAAACGTCGCCCTATTTTAATATTTTAGATAGCTTAAAATTTTCAGCTAGCTGCAATTTTGGATACGAAAGGAAAATAAGAGTTATTCCTCTTGAACCATGAAAGCAACGATAATGGCTAGTATAATATATTAATATATATTTTTAACCTCGCATAATCTGGCAACCCTAAATCTGAGCTCAACGAAAATCGTTCCCTGCGCCTCACTTTTCTAGGGCTTTCTTTTATTTTTCAATTCCTCTTTCGGTATTTTTCTTTAACGTTTCCTTCACTGTTATGCATTTAATTCCTTTTACTTTTGTTTCGCCCTCCCTTTTTCATAGACTTTATTTTTCAGCGAACTTGAAAAATACAGGAAAACATCGAGAAAAATTGAAGAAGAAAATAACATTTAAAGAGTGAAGTGAGAAAGCAAAAAAAAAAAAAAGAACAAGTATAGAATAGAAAGTAAAGGGAAAAAGAGGAAGAAGAAAGGAAAAGAGAGAACGAGAAAATAGATAGAGAGAAAGAGAGAGGGAGAGAAAGAGAGAAAGAGAGAGGGAGAGAAAGAAAAAGAAAAGGAAAGAACTGTATAAAATGAAGTAACAAGAAAGAAATAAAAATTATAAAAAAATAATAATGAGATAAAAATGTTTTAAAAGTTTTACACCTAAAAAATATTTACATAGTAAACATCATTTTAAAAACCTTCAAACGTGTAAAATCGTTCTGAAAGAACAAAGAACAAAAGACATCAAATACATAATAATCGCTCAAAAAGTATTCAGACAAAACGACTTAAAATGGAAAACTATTTCCTAATTTTCCTTTTAAAAAACATCAAAACACATTAAAGAAATCATTTATATTTTAGAAAAGATTGATATTCTTTTGAAAATCTACTTTGACTGGTGTAATATTGACAATTTTTGACAGGTGGTCATTATTGCCAAGTATCAATATGATCTATACAACTCAATTCTCATATCACTCTCACAGAATATATATATATATATATATATATATATATATATATATATATATATATATATATATCAAATCGGCTACTCAGATTTTCATGCAATGGCACTCATCATGATTTATTTTAAGTTTTAGTTTTTATTCTTACTATTTCTCTCTCTCTCTATATATATATATGTATGTGTGTGTGTGTGTGTGAAAAGTGTATATATATATATATATATATATATATATATATATATATATATATATGTATATAATTATTTATATATTATATGCGCGGTACTTATTAGAAAGCGCTCAATATCAGAGATAGAGCTAACATATTTGGTTGGATTGATGTGAGTTTGTGACCCTGGGTTTCACGCTTTTGCGATCGCAGACAAACTGATTAATTTTTTTTTTAAATTTTGGGTTTATGTAGATTGCGTGCATTGGTGTTATTATGGGAGTCGGGGGGATCGTCGTCATGATGTCACTCATGCTAACGCAAACATAGATGCATGTCTGTACACCCGATGAGGTACGCAGACACAAATACACACTCGCTCGTCCGCCGGGGCTCATACAGACATAAACATATGTGCACAGTATGGGACTTGACATATGTATGTATATGTGTGCTGTTGTCTATATACATATGCATTTTTATGTTGAAATTCAAAGATCAGAAGTGTAGTGAAAATTTCTCGTGAATGTCTCGTGAATGTATACATGTCAGCAATCAGAGCATTTTTCTATTTTTTCGCTGAATAATATTTCCTCGCATGCACATATATACATGTTGTGGGGACTGTGTAAAATTATGATAGGTAAAAATTGCTATTATTTTTAATTTTTAAATTTTTTTTTTATTTTGATGACTGTGTATATGTAACTGGTAGAAATTGCAGTTTGTAATCCTTATTGGTTATTTTTATGGTGGTATTTAATATGCTGGGGGAGGGTAGTTTACGTTACTAATTATATGGGTTTATATGATTATAGTAGATGTGATGTGATAGTAATGTTGTAGAGGGATTGGTGGCAATGATAATATAAGTAGCTAATAGTTATTCTAAATTGGTAGAAGTGATTATTAATGGTGGTGGGAGAATGATAAAAACAGTAAATGCAATTATTGTGGTGGTAGCTTGAACTAAAATTGATTGTTGGTGTTTTATTTTATTTTATTTTATTTATTTATTTTTACCGTTTATTATAAACAGGACATTTACTTAAATATTTCTATCTATAAAAAGAATGTATAAGCATAAAAACGTCTATATATATATATATATATATATATATATATATATATATATATATATATATATTATGATACACACACAGCATGCTTGTGCAGCATATTCCGATAAAATAACCCGTAGATTAATTGGGCTGTGCAATTAGATTTGTTCTTTTTTATATTAAAAAAAAGGTTTGTTCATAATTTTTGCCTGTGATTAAAATTTTAAACTTTTATATTATGCGTTCAAGAAGAGCAGAGATGCCTGATGTTTTTCTTCTTATCGTGCAGTTTTTCCATACCCGGCAACATCGAGCGGGTGGATTTTCTTTCTACCTATTCAATGTGCAGGATAACCTTCACAAAAACTGAAGCTATGTTGTAAAAAAAAAACAAAAAACAAAAAACAAAACAAAAAAAAAAACAAACACAACAAACAAAGAAAAAGAAGACTATATTACGGTTAACAGTCAGTCCTGGTATGACGATAAACTACATCCCGCAGCAAGGCCTCTGATCGAGAGATTGGAGGTTTTGAGGAACAAGGAACTACCTTTTATTTGCTGACCC